GTATGTGCCCTTCTTAAGTGGCACTTACTGGAAGTTGTATGCACTTCATTCATTGACATTTCCCTGCCTATGAGATGGCATGGCACACCTAGCTGCAAGAGAGGCTAGGAAACAGTATTTATTCTGGGCAGCCATGTACCCCGCTAAAAATTAGGAGTTTTTTTTTAATGTTTACACTATTACAGATGTCCCCATTTTTCTCCCTTTGCCCATCTCCACCCAGTCCAAGGAGTTTTAGTACCATGTGAGAAGGGGAAAACAGATGTGAGGACATAATCAGCAATCTCTGTCACAATGGGTGATTCTAAGGGTCAGGAAAAGCAAAGTTCAGCATCCATCAACATTTTTCCTTTCTTAGCAAAGTGTTTCCATTGACCACCAAACGATATTTACACACCCATCACTCTGACCTCTCCAACGAACCATGCCAATAGTGTATGAGTCATGGGAAAACCTTACAAAGTTCTTTTCAGGGACACTGATCAAGAATAATCTACAATGGAGGTTTTTTACCTAAAGGCTCTTAAATATCTTAAGTGTTGCTTTCTGGATACTTACATTCTGTGTGCATTCTTTGGTGTCCTGTCCAAAATGCACAACTGATAAAAATGTTTCCTCTGTGTATGAGGTTGGAGAGATAGCATTATGACAGAAGCTTCATGGAATGCAATCTTGTTTCTTGACCTGTAATTTTCCTTTCACACAGAAACCATTCTTGGGCAGCCTCATTCAGTGGATTTTTAAATTTTTATTTATCAATATGGTTAACCTTGAATACAAGCCTTTAAAATGGCATCCTTGTGTGCTTTAGTCAAAATAAACAAAAATCAGGGATACACATTTCCAGAAATATATTACAAAACCAAATAGAAATTATTTCTCAACAAGTACTAAATGGCTTATTTGATATTTTTTTCCTTACATCAGTATGAAAAATGAGTGCACCGAAGTTCTAAGGCAACCTGCTTGCAGTTGATCCCAGTGGTTATTAGTGGCTGATATTCTAGAGTTCAGATGACAGAGACCAAGAGTTAAGAGGTTACAAGTATGATCTGACATAGAGCTTTGCATTTTGTTTTCACATAAGGTCTTCCATCTTCACCCAGACATTTAGTCATCAGTTAGCATGAGGTAAACAAAACAGTTGGTCTTCCAAAATTTCACCATAAAAGGACTCAGTCTGGGTTCACACAATCTTTTTATGATGTCATGCACTGTATTGTGTTAAAAAAAAAAAAGCCCCATATGAGTGAGGAACGTCAGACTCCAAGGCAATGATTATGTTCTGGGCGTTCTCTAAAGCACTTCAATCCCACACTGCTGGTGCTCAATGTATTTTAAAATGTAAAGTGGAAAGTTACATATTCTAAAGTCCCATTCTGGCATCCTACAGGGGGACAATGTTAGTGATTAAGATTCCAGTCCCGCCTCCTGTGAACGGTGCCATCAGAGTACGTTCCTGCTTCAACTTGATACGCATAGGTTTTCTCAGCTGCCTGCCAAGTATCCTGTTAGCTGATTTTTCCCTTCTGTGATTCTGATCTATGACTTCTTTCAGTTTTTCATGGGAATTGGTGGCTGTGAGGGAACCCAAGAGCCTCTGATCACTTGACTTGGAAAATGAATGGAAAGTAGATTTCCATTTTGTGAGTATTTGATTTTCTTAATCTATCATCCAAGGTATGTTCGTAATCTTTGAGTAACTGAGATGACTTCCTGGGAACTTCTTTCTAGGCCAGAAGGACAGGTATGTGAATCTTTAAATCAGTGATTCTCAAACTTGAGCGTGCAACAGAGTCACCAGCAGGGCCTATTAAAACACAAAATGTGGGCCTGCTCCCAGAGTTTCTGACTCAGCAGGTCTGGGGGAGGCCCGAGAATTTTCACTCCTAACAGGTTCCCGGGTGATACTGATGCTGTGGGTCCTGGGACCACATTTTGAGACCCAATGCCTTCAATAAAAGTGGGGCGTTTGAATGGTCCTGTAAATAGTTTGCCATCAAGCCATATTCTACCAATTTGTGCTTCCTATAAATAGAACCTAGATGAAATTGACAGCCTGTTCTGTTGAGGCTCCACAAGTTCCTAAAAATCCCCAATTAGAAAACAAATGAACTATAACTCTTAGAATAGTAATAACTTACTCATTTTGAAAATATTGTTAAAATCTAAAGAAAAGTTCTAGGTTCTGAAGCTAACTTTAGTTGTGGTAATAATCATCACGCTGTTACATTTGGAAACATGCTTGTCCTAAAATAATTGTTATTTTCACCCAAAGAAAACAGAAATAATAACACAGGAAGCTCTGGGCAGCCTTAGGCCACTTCTTTCTGGAAAACATGTTTAATTCATGGTTGCCCAATTCACACAGAGGAGGTGATTAGGAAAACACTTAAGTCATTCTGATCAGGAATGCTCACCAAACAGGAGTATCTTGAAATCATGGACGGCCTAGGAATATCTGAATGGTAAAGAACCAACTGCTCGTGTGACAACGTGTCAGGCATGTTCAATGTTTCCCATTACTGTCCACAGGCCCTGAGATTGAACGTGAAATATCACCAAAAGAGCGGAGCACAAATAACCTCTTTGCACTGTGTTGTCTGACGCCAAAATGCTATTCAGATGCTCACCCTTCATGATACCATAAGTCGCTGCCATTTGCTGTCTCCTGGACAAGCTACATGCTCTCCCCACATATAGACAAACAGTGCTGGTCTCCGAGGCCTATGAGCCTCGTTGCAGAAGCTCACACAAGATTCTTTAATCCATTGGATACATATTCTTTCTCCTTTGATAGAGTTCCTTTATGTAAGTCATCTTATCTACAGAAAATGTCCAACTGCTTCTCTAATGGACTCTTGCCTCTGTAGCTGAAGGTCATAGTTTGTTTCCAAACTTCTTGGATTCCTTATCATCCCTCCCCTCCTCACTTATCCCTCTGCTACCTTACCATGCCCAACAGTAAAGGGTAACCCACTGGTGAGACGGGGCGTGGTCATTTGCCCCACCCCTAATTCCAAGGCTCATTCTCAAGGTTTACACCTGGATGGAGAACACAAACTTCTGCTACTTCTTGTGGATTCTTCTTCCCTAACACGCAGATGCAGATGTGTGCAAAGCGAACTAAGAAATAGGAATTAAGTGGAGCTCAAGGGCTACATCGGGAGATGTATCTGCTAACACAAGTTGGAGAAGGGGCCCTGAGGCAGGACGGAATGAGGCTTTTTCACTGAATACAGTGACACGGAATGGCATCTGTGCTCGCCAAAGCCGGGTCTCAGATCTCCCAGCTAAAACAAACAACACCCACATCGCACAGAAGCTTCACTGTGTGTCTGCTGTCACAGTAAGCCCCAGTACGTTAGAATGCTGACACCTTCTGGACTGGCTGGTCCAAACCCCTCATTTTTCAAATAGAAAACGGAGCCTCAGGGAGAAGAAAGAGACTTGCCTTGATTACGGTTAAAGGCTCCTCAGGTGCTGCACTGAGGCCGGGACTTGGACTTTCTGATCACTGAACCAGAGTTTGTGGGCCCTCCCCTTTTTCTTGGGGGGTGGATGGGTGTTAATGTAAACACCAATGGAGCAGCTACTACTGCTCTTGCCCACCCCTGCTCCTCAGGGAAGGTCCAGCATGCCCATGCATCCATCCCCACAGGCTTCCAGGATAAGGCAGTCCTTTCAGATCCAGCCACTGGACACTGACTTGCTATGAATGATGCCACGTGGGGCTGTCTGTATCCAGCCCAAGTCTGTGTGGTTTTTTTGTACTCTCCTTCCTTGTCACCAAATAAAATTACAAATATAATACAAGTGGGTTTATATACATGTTCCTTCCGTTTAAGCAAGCCTCATCGTGGTTTCAGGTGCCCCAGTGAGAAAAATAAAATAAAATTGCACTTGTGGCCTCTCAGATTAATGACTGAGTTAAAAATGAGGTGGTCCAGCCCTCAGGAGAATAGGCCACACATGCCGATATAACTGGGCCATCAGCATGTGTGGCCACCGGCGCTCAGGCCCAGCAGACTCAGAGACCTGTGGGAATGGCTCCTTCACAAGATGCCCCGGAGGTAGATAAATGCACTCAGCCCTGTGGATGGGTGCAGCACACAAAAGCACAGGGTAGGGTGTGTGGAGATGCCTTGGACAAGGAGCAGCAGGCCTGAAGGGCAGGCCAGACCTCTGGACAGCACCCTCCCTGGGAGGAAAAGCTTTGGTCGTGCAAGTCCCGGGATGCAGCAAACGTCTACAGCAGTGAGAACGTGGGAGTAGGAGGTAAGAGGTGGTGCTGGTCCCAGGGCGAAATGCTTCCACACAGACCTCTAGAGTGGAGCTGCCAAGGGGGCAAGTCTGAGGGGGTTATCATTTTGAACTGGGGGGGGGGGCCTGGCACATTCCCCCAGGTCATGCATGAGCCCTGGGTGGCCCTGCCATCCTCTCTCCCAACAGATCGAAGAATCAGGTAGCCAGGGCTCCCCTTCTGAGAGAGCCATGCGGGACTGGGACAATGGCAAAAGGCACAGGCAGCTCTGATGGTTCAGCTCTCCCCTGATTTCTCCCTCAGCCAGAGGGAGGGGAGAGGGGGCAGAGGTACAGGTCACACAACAAGGCTGCAGAGCCCCGCAGTTGCTACCACAGCAGCTAAGAGTCAGGCCCAAGAACCATCAGCTCAGGGTGGAGTCAAGGTCCCTTTCTCTGGCACGAGTGGCCCCGCTCTTCCCTTCAGGGAGAATGGCCTGAGAAGGCTGGCAGGCTCTCACTGAGGTAATGAGGAACACCTGCTCAGCCTCGTAGATCACCCTCGGGTTAAGCAGGGAGAATCCCTGAAGGAGGTGTTCGGAGGACAAAGGCCGAGGAGCTCCGTTGATCTGGGACACGGCACAAGTTTTAAATGACACCTTCCCACACACGCAGCACTCTCGCCCACTCATGCACCTGGATCCACACTCCCACGCACTGACATTCTCCCCACCCCACCCCACTCCAAGTCCCCACTCCCACCCCACAGATCTCGCCCCCTGTAAACACGACAGCAGAGATGCCCACAATCCGGGCAGAGACACAGGGACAGTCTGACAGTGATCTGAGGCCAAACTGCTTGTCATTAAGTGCCCCGGTAGGTGATGTTGGTGAAGGTGGACGTGGCCTCTTTATACAGCGGGTTGTTGGCCTGAGGAGAGAACAGAAAAGGGTCATACAGTGAATCTTCAATTCTACCCCATCCTCGAGGCTTACGTTTGCTCTGAGACATGTGCCCAAGACACCCTTCTCTGGGAAACACCACCGATGAAACAGCTTGGTGCGCACTGTATTCGCACAGTCACTCGTAAGATGGGAATGGACAGGAAATAAGAGAAGGTTGAGGGCCCCCTGCCACTACTTCTAAGGGGCTAAATTCATCCCACCCCTTTTAGGTGATCCCAACACACTTCAGACGGCTTGCAACCGACAGTTTCCTCCCTCTCTCCCACCCTCTCCCTGCTGCTCTTCTCCCCGCTTTCCTTTACCCTGCTGGGGAGGTGGGCGGGGAGGAGAAGTGTAGAAGGCGGTGTGCGGAACACAGAGGACAGCTTGTGCCAAAACACTTCGGAAAACGATCTCATCTCATCCCTTCCAGCACTACCCACAAACAGTCGTGTTATCATGAAACAGTGAGATCCTCGCTGGATTTCTCAAGTCATTTTCTAATAAAAAGTGACAAACCCCATAAGGTCTGGTAGTCCTCAGTGGTAGCTCCAAGAAACACAATACATTCTTGTGTGCATCAGAGGTTCAGGGTTTCTACACCGTCTGAACAGAAACATCTCAGCTCCTTGGGACTCTGGGGCACGAAGGCCTGGGGTCACCATCAAATGGGAACAAACCCACAGCCTAAACTTGGACAGTCAGGGAGTCAAATAGCCATTTGGAAGGTCCAGAAAAAAAAAAGCTGAAATGTAGAAAATAAGCCAAAGGAAAATAGAGTAAAATGAAGACCATACTAAATTCTCAAAAAATGCTTGCTTGGATTCAATCGAGATAATCTGTAGGGAACACAAAGGTGGAGTCTGATTTGGAAGTTGTCATCATTTGAGAAAAAAAGAACATAGGATGGAATGACACCCTGCTATTATTTCTAAGAGGCTGACCCAAAGAGGGGAAACGTAATTCCCTCCCACTTCTCCGTGCTCACTTATCTGCAGGTGGGCATCATAATGTGGCCTATCACACAGGGTTGTTATAGGGATAAAATAAGTTAATTCACAAAGAACATTTAGAACAGTTCCTGGTACGTGGTAACTCCTCAGGAAATGTTAGCCATTGTTATATTTTCCCTTTTTGTGTTTAACGAGCTAAAACCTCATTGGTATATAATGTATGTTAGTTATATATTCTATGTTCTCCGTGTTGGAGTCTCAAGTGTGTCCCGTCTCCCTCAATTGGAGGTTGTTTCCTTTTCATCTCTTCACCGTGTTCAGAGCGTTGGGCCCTGTCTGTGCTCAGTCAGCCCATGGTCAGGCAGTTTCCAGGAGGCGTAAGGACCGCAGGACAGCTAGACCATCTCCCAACGCCCAGATCACAGGCTAGCTGGAAAACCGCTGGCGGAACCTGGCCGCTGTGAGCATCTGCTGTGTCTGCTTCAGGCTCCAAACCAATGACTTAGGAAAACGTCCGGCGCTACACAGCCCAGTCTCTTACCGTGTCCCATTTTGCTCTGGCTCGCTCTTCCTCAAATTTCGCAAACTCCTTCCGATCATGGATGGTGATGAGGAGCTTCCAGATGAGCAGAGTAGCAAGGCCGATGAGCAGAATGGCCCCCATCACTGAAAGCAGGACCACCAGGATGTCAGGGCCCTTGGGACACTCTGTCAGGAGACAGCACAGAGCACAGTGGCTGTGACTGACACAGGAATCACTTCAATTGGCTAAAAATAAGAGCTTCCTGACAAAGAATAATGTACTAGAAAATTCTCTGAAGGAAACAGGACTTATAAAAAAATCAATTAATTTTTTCAAGGAGAGGGGGCAACTTTTAGGACGAAAATAATCTGTCCCGAGTGGCTTAAATCAGGTCGTGAGCCTGTCCCCCAAGGGCAAAATCTAGTCTACTTGATGTGGGTTCACACAGCCTGTATTAAAAATTTGATTGTATTGGCAACATTGAACAATCAGGAGTCTCCCCTTGAAATTTCAGGTTCTTTTTATTCATTTATTTTTATTTCTTAAATAGTTTATTTATTTATTTTTAGAGAGAGGAAAAAGGAGGGAGAAAGAAAGGGAGAGAAACACTGATATGCTGTACGCATCCCAACGGGGACCAACCTTGCAACCCAGGCATGTGCCCCTGACTGGGAATCGAACCAGTGACCTTTCACTTCGCAGAACAATGCCCAACCAACTGAGCCACTCTGGCCAGGGCTCTTCTTTAAAAAAAAAAAATCAAAAGATCTGGAAACATAGAACCTAGGTTCCTACAGGTCAGCAACTGGTGAGGACTGAGCAGCAGCCGCCCGTGTTAGGGGGACACATTGGCCAGAGCCCGCACCGCTCCCTCTGCTGTCCACCACACAGCAGCAGCGTGTGGCTTGTCACGGGGCTTGTGCTACTGCGGGCTCTGGAGCCAGCCTGCCCACTTGGAATCCAGGCTCACCACTTCCTTAGCCATGTGACCTTTGATAAATTATTTAACCTTTCTGGGTGTGTTTCCTGGTTCTACCATCTTTAAAGTGGAGAAACTAGCAGCACTGACTTTGAGACCTCGCTCTGAGGAATAATTAAGGAATTTGAAGAACTCATAACAGTGCCTGGCATGGAGTCAGGGCTCAGCAAACATCAGCTGCCGTGATTACTGGCGTTCTTGTGACACCTGGCTGTTTTCACCAATTTATTTACCTGGCTCCTGTAGGTGTTTGAGTTTGTCCCCTGGTTCAGATGTTTACTGCCCTGCAGACTGGGGACCCTAATGACCTTTTCAGCATACTTAGACACCAGGTGGCCTGCCAACCAAGACAATATTTTGGGTTCCTTCCCAAAACATTTAGTCATCTAAAATCCTAACCCTATTGAAAGCCGACTTCCTCTTCAACCTCAGTCAACAACCAACACAGACAGAGGCACGTCACGCCTTGAGGGCCAGGAGAAGTACAGTCAGCAGAGCTCTGCTTCCCATAAACCACAGGTGTCTGGTGGGTGACTTCACTCCAGTAACTTCTCAGGTGTTATGTAATTAAGTGTGTGCAGATATGCCTATTGATGGGTCTGCAGAGGAGGCCACACCCACCTTCCACACTGTCTCCCACCTTCTTCTCTAAACATACACCCCATGCTCACCACACACTACCCCAAAACAACCACCACCACAAACCCAGGCTGGCATTTTCCCAAGCCACCAAATTGCAAGCTGTCTATAATTAAAAGAGCTCCTGGAGAGAAGCAGTGAGTTTCCAGCGTCTGAGTTCCCAGGAGTGAAGGGCCCCAGTTCTTCTGGGAAAAGCAATTATGAATTCTCTTGAAGACTGAGGTGGGGCGGACCCTCAAATCCCAAAGTGAAATCTCTTCATTTCTGCATGTCAGTGTAGGGAGGACAGAGAGAGTGCCAGGAGGTCTTCGTGGGGTTGGGGGACATCTGTTAACCATCTGTCCCGAAAGGGATGGATGGCAGGCTTCCTGCAGACAAGACTGGGGGTTTCTGGAGAGCCCTCCCAGCTCCTCACAGAGATGAGGACCCATGGAAAGGGAAGGAAAGCGGCGTCAGGAAAGACTGGGCAGGGTTAGCCGATTTGACAAACAAAAGTACAGGAAGTCCAATTAATTTGTTCATAACAATGAGTAACTTTTTGGCATAAGCATGCACCAGATATTGCATGGACACACTGTGTCGTATCAGGCACTCGTATCCAGCTCAGGGCTAACACCACGTAGCCAATGCCAAACCCTTTGGCTGTGCTCTCTTTACAACCCTGCCGTGGCTCGGCCCTTCCAAGAAAGCCTCCGGCAGCACATGAGTTAGGGAAGAGAATGAAAAGAATCTCCTCCTCTATTCCAGGACCCCAGATGCTACATTCTACTCTGAACCAGAGCCCCTGAGAATGGATCAGGGTGGGGGTGGGGGTGAGAGGAGAGGCAGAACTTGGGACTTCGGGGCATCAGGATCAGAAATATGGGTCTGGGTCCCATCCCCTAACATGGGGAAGGGGCCTACTGTCAGCAAGGCAGAAAAGTTACCCCTGACCCCAGGTTATTTGTACCACCCCAGGTCACCGTCATCTTTGTTCTAGTCTCAGAATACCCAGACCAAGATTTTGGTAAGCTGACACAGCAGGAGCACCAGCAAGGATTATTGTAGCAAAGAGATGAAACAATCTGCAAGACTATATACTCAGAGTGAGGCAGCTAAGTGACTTAAAACAGCTGAGTATAAAAGCAAGAACATACCACCCTTCTGAAGCGAGAAGGGGCAAAGGTATCAAAAAGGTAGGTGCGGAAGAATCTGTGAAACGTGTTAACACAGGTGGATGGAAAAGCGTGAGAAAGTCACGTGCAAATAATCCACACCTGCTCCCCACAGACCCAGCCCCACACTTCCCTCTCATTTTCCCGTGTCAGCTTTCCCTTGAGTCACTAAATAAAACTAAGGCGATGCCCTTCCTTTCTCTTCCTTTTCCCCTATGAAGGCTGAGAGCTCTGGCGAAGGTGGATAAATAGTATCACAGGCAAGGACACTATGATCTCCCCTGCCCACGGGGACAGGCACACCCCGGGTGACACCGATGTAGCAGCCCCTTTCCCACTTTCACCCCTGCCCTTCTCCAAGCAGCCAAACGCTCCTAACAGATATCAAGATGTATATAAGCCTGGCTGTCTCCTAGGAATAATCAGCCCTATTAATTCATTCACAAGCCATTTATTATCTTCTTTGTAGAGGACTGAGCCAAGGATGGGGATACAACAATTGATAAGACAGACAGATCCTATGTTCACGAGGCTTATGAGCTACTGAGGGAGGCAGGTGATGGAAGAAGCAATTTAACAGGGTGGTCAAGGCCCTTTCAAGGAAGCAGGGCTGCTGTGAGAATCAAACAGCAGCACCAAACCTCGTCAGCAGAATGAGGCTGGAGGAGGCGGGAGGACCTCTGAGAAGGCTCACTGGGGGAAGTGATGTATCTAAAGCATTATCGCCTGAACATATTGGGGAACAGCCTGATTACCAAGAGAATTAATGAAGAACACAAGGGCAAAGTTTTGTGGAAACAAGTCGGGGCTCAGGACTCTGGATTTTTCTTTAATGAGGAAATACACGAAAGTTTCACAACCACTGCTGTAAAGCAGGGGCCAGCAAACTGGGCCACGAGCCAAGTACTGCTTGCCACCTGTTTTGTAAATACAGCAAACTCCTCATTTACCTGTGTCCATGGCTGCTCTCCTGCTACTATGGCAGAGTCGGGCAGTCACAGCACAGAGACCACCTGGCTCACACAGCCAGGAATATTTAACATCTGGCCCTTTACAGAAAAGTTTGCTGGCCTCTGGTCTAAGGAATGAGATGAAGGACTCTCTACAGCTGTCAAGAATGTCAAGTGACCAGCTGACTTAGCCTCTGCCTTGGGAGATTGCTCCTTCACTACCAAGTTCTTGTCCATCCCACCCACCACCCTGTGGCCCTTATCCCTTTGCAGTGTCATTACTGACTTACATTACTGTCTCCCCCAAGTCTGTGAGGGCCATCTCTGCCTTATTTACTGTTATATTCCCAGCACCTGGCGCAGTGCCTGATACAGAATAAGTTCTCAAAACTATTTCCTCGTCATTCCTGTCTTAATCTGTTGTTTAGGGGAAAGGAAGGAGACGAGGGGGTAAGGAAAAGCAAGCAAACCTACTGGGTTGGAGGGTGGCAAACCTGTGGTTGGCATATGATGATGTGAGCCCCCCCCCCCCCCGCACCCAGAGGGCCTGGAGGGCAAGCACTGGATTCTCAGTGCCTACGGCTGGGGGGCTTGGCGACTCAAGCCCTTTACCAGGTTTTGTGGTGAACCCGGCAGGGTCAACACCTCCAACCACGAGGCCTTCCTCTGCAGTGGCAAGCAGGTCGCTCTTGGCAACCATTGAACTTATAGGAGAGCAGATGCTATGTGCTGAAAAGTCCTAGAATTTAAATTCTTTACTTCTTAACATTATCACCTGAAAAACTGCCATGGTCTATTTTGTCCCTTCATGGGATCCATATTTACCGTCTTCCTCTCCTTACCCATCTTATTTTTCTATGTCCTCAATTAGCAAACCACTTTCTTGCTAATATTTGTATTTATATCCCCGCCCCCCGCCCCCTGCCCCGCAGATGACGGGCCCTAACTTTTCACTTGTAAGGTCAGGCTTAACCTGGCTGTTCCATTTAAGAGGCGTGATGGGTGAAACAACTGCCTAACGTGGTTCTCCCTCTCCCTGGGGGTGGGGCCAGGGGCCCTCGGGGTCTGCTCACCTGGCTCTTCTACCACATACAGGATAGACTTTCCGCTGGAGTCTTCAAAGTACTGGAATCTGATGACACAGTCATCCTCATTCTTGTAGGTGCAATTCACTGCATCCTTGCCAGTGTCCTCTGGGAGAGAGGGACAGATGGGAAGTGAAAAAATGGGTCAATTCCTGGAAAAAAATGGGTCAATTCTTGGATAATGGGTCACTCCCAAACCCCACTTATTGAATTGCTGCAAAAGTATGCAACTTTACGCTGACATAGGAATCCTTACACCTGACAGTAGGCAAGATGTCTAGATCTGAGATGGCTGTCATGGCTGGCAATTGCCTCCAAATGACCCTGACTGGTGTACTTTGTCCCTCACCGGCCCATTCTGGTTCTTATTCCTTCCTCGAGAAGGGACATGATATAACAGTGCCGCACAACCCGATTCAAAGTTGGACTCTACCACCTACCAGCTGTGTGATCTTGGGGCGTCACTTGACCCCATGAGTCCCTTTCTTTGTCTATGGAGGGAAAATGATGCCCTCACCTCACAGGGCTGGTGGAGAATTAAGTGACGTACAGTAAGCAGTGGGTGCTTCCTTCCCTCTCTTTCCTTTCTCTGCTTGCTCAGTGATTTTTCAGTAGTTTCTACACTCAGCCCTTCGTGTCCCTCCATTTCTGCCTTTGTCCCGGAGTTGCTCCTCAGAGCCATCCTCTCTCCCATCGTGTTCTGCAGGCTTCATCCCTCCTCATCCTGGAGCCTGTGGCTCTGACAGTGAGACCATACCCTACACTGATGAAACCGGCAGTTAAAGGTGACACACGATGAGACTGAGCAAATGTGCCGAGGTCACACAGCACGTGACAGAGCAGGATTAGCATGAGTCTCAAGCACAACCTATAAACTTGAACTCATCAGGCCTTTAATTTAGTAAACCAGTGCTATGCCAGTACCAAGGAAAGAGTAAGAATTTCAGGATTTAATTCTAATCTTACCTCATCACTAATTTGCTTGGGCAAGTTACTTAACTTCCCTGAGATTCAATTTCTTCATTCTCAAAATGAAGATGACGGTGGTACTATAGTTCTACTCCATTCGGTTGTTGGGAGAAGGATAAGATAATGTGCATGAAAAGATACTTTTAAAACTTCTACAAGTAATAAAATTCCATATAAAAAAGCATTTATTTTTAGCCCTGACTGGCGTAGCTCAGTGGATTGAGCACGGGCTGCGAACCAAAGTGTTGCAGGTTCGATTCCCAGTCAGGGTACATGCCTAGGTTGCAGGCCATGACCCCCAGCAACTGCACATTGATGTTTCTCTCTCTCTCTCTCTCTCTCTCCCTTCCCTCTCTAAAAATAAATAAATAAAATCTTAAAAAAAGATTTTAAAAAGCATTTATTTTTATGATTATTATGGCAGGGTGGGGTGTAGAAATAGTTATCCACTAACCTGGAATACCCAGCTGGTCCAGATAATAAAAACATCTCACCTCTGAGCAGCCTGAACTAATCAGAGCAAGCACGGTCTCCTCCAGAGGGGAAATTGTTTCTTTAGACTCAGGCCCCAAATCTCTGCCCTCACCCCAGCCCCACTCCTGATACTGGCCAAGGGGTCCAGGGAGCGGACTCTTTTCCATAACATGCCCACCAGAAGCTGACTGACTGGTGGGGTCTTTCTGTAACTCCCACTGAAAACGTGTTTCCTGCCTTCGTGGGAGATGGCGATCTCCCTGGCACTGCCCAGCGCCTGCCTGGCCCAGAGAACCACATCAGGTGTGCTGACAGCAGCAGGGATCATCTCCTGCACGTCAAGTTGAAGAACAAACCAGAATAATTGCAGGCAAGCGTTTTGCTCCCCATTGCATTTCTCTCTGTCTCATTCCACAAGAGGCTACCAAGAGCCAAAAAGGCTTCAGGATAATGACTTTGGCTACAGTTCCATCAGGGCGAAGGCTCCACTCCAAACCAGAAAAGCCAAATGCCTGGGTGTTCTTGGTAAATGCTTACTAGCCTACTAAGCTAAAACCGTCATGGGTAAGTACTTTCTCACTCTGTGCCTCAGTTTCTTCATCTATACAATGGGATGCATTCTCTTCCCTTTCTTGAGGGGCATTTAGTTAGGATTTATACACACTCTGGAAGTCATTGGCAGGATTGTGCTGAGTCTGTGGGCTTCGGGAAGCAGAAAGGGGCGGGTCTGCTGAACAAATCAGTAGAAGTGCAGGGAGACCCGCAGTGAAGTCAGCTTTTACTAAGTGTCTACTGAGCATCAGAACTGCACCACACGCCTCTGAGGTCACAATTTTACAGATGAGAGTTGGACGGTTTCTTGCATTAAGTCAGAGAAACTTAGAACCCAGGTGTATGCAACACGAAGACACGCTGAACTTACTAAGCTCCTTCACGGACTCGATCTCATCTCGACAGTAACGGTTGCAGGTGTTTTCCTCAAATAGGATTCCCCGCTCAAACTTCTTACACTCCACACACTCCCTAAGGACAGAGGACACAGGGGTTAAGGCAAGGAAGGAGCAACCCCAAGAGTGCTTTAGTCTGACTCCGACCCTCAAACACCTCCATCTCAGAAAACAAACGCACAAACAGAAGTGCCTGTCAGACATCCCTGGGGCCCAGAGAGTCGGGTCTGGAGTTCAGGGCCTGTCAGGCAGACGCCTCCAGGTACCGTCATGAAATTTCTCCACCCAGGCCTGTGACAGGAGGGTGAACCCTCTGCCACTCCTGGGAGCCTTAAAGTCACAACCAGTCACATAATTAGGGACCCAGTGCAAAATGAAAACATCAGGTCCCTTGTTCAAAAATTACTAATAATTTCAAGACAGTGACAGCAGAGCATTAAACCAGCCTGGGGGGAGAGTGTCTTCTAAGCAGAAGGCCCTGTACAGATGCTATTACTCTCACCCTCTTGAAGTGGAAGGAGAGCTCTGGCCAGAGTGGCTCAGTTGGTTGGGTGTCCTCCCGTAAACTGAAAGGTTGTGGGTTTATTTCCTGGCAAGGGCACATGTCTAGGTTGCAAGTTCAGTCCCCAGTTGGGGCACGTGTGAAAGGCAACCAATCGATATTTCTCTCCCTCTCTTCCTCTCTCCCTTCCCCTCTCTTTAAAATCAGTAAGCATATCCTCAGGGACTTGGGCTGCTAGAAGCTTCCTCTGACCCCCACATGAGTGTCGTTTGTACTGGTGAACATCCATTTCACACGGTGCCTCTCATAACTCCAGCCCCACCGCTCCCACAGAGTCAGAACATCAGCACTGGAACGTTCCCCAGAAGGTATCTGGTTTAGCCTCCCTCTTAACTCAGGGGTCCAGGAAGCCACCCTAGAAGAGGGGCTTCTCCAGCTGGAGTCCGGCTGGTACTGGCTTGACTCCTTCACCATTGGTGCCACCTCCAGCTTTGCCCAAAGTTTTCAGGGAAAGAGGAAAGCTGGCCATGTGGCTGCAGCAGACTCCTCCTGCTAAAGCTTTGAAACCTGGAGAGCTGGGGGTTCTAGTCTAGAGGACCCTCTCCACTACAGCCCCCAATGTGACGCCCAACTCTCTAGAACTCACTTCTCTGCCCACTCACTTCTTAAAGGTGCAGGCATCAGGGCAGGTGGGACACTTCTCACAGGTGTTCCCGTAGGAGCCCGGCTGGATGCAGACGCAGCTGCCGCATTCGCACTTGCCCCGGCCGCTGCACAGCAGCCCGTTACTGGACATGCAGGTGTCAGTGCGCGTGGTGCAGTTACAGTAGTAGCCGGTCCAGTCGGAGTCACACAGGCAGTCCCCACAGCTGCACTGGCCATGGCCTGAAAACACACAGCCCATGGGGGCGGAGAGGCTGGTGAGGGTCCCGAACTCCATGATGGCGGCTCAAGCTGCTTTCCAGCGGCCTCTCATCATGCGCCACAGGTTGGTACACATGAGCCACCCCAGTGCACTGCTCACTGCCCTCACGTCAGCCTTATATCCTCATGCTTCTGTTCATGTTGTCCCCTGCCCAGAGGCCTTCTCATCCTGTGACCTCTACCAAACACCACTCACTCTTCACGGCTCAACTCAGATGTTCCTTGCTCTCTGCACCTTTTTTCGGATCTCCCTGGGCCAGAGCAATGGTCGGTCCTGTCCTGTGTTCTGCCAGCACTTACATATCCCTGCATTTCAACCCTTATGTTCAACCCCTTTGCTTGCCTATCTGTTTCTCTTTCTAGACTGTGAGCTCCTTAATGGGACAGCACATATGATGTTAATTTTGAAATTTTTCAAGTACAGTTTACATTAAATATTATTTTGTATTAGTTTCAGTTGTACAGCATAGTAGTTAGACAATTATAGACTTCACAAAGTTCCCCCTGGTATTTCCAGTACCCAGCTGGCACAAAATATTAATTTTTGCACTAATAATGATTAGCATAACATCTGATGCAGAATAGGCTTGCAATTAATGTTAATTTATTCATTCAGTCAACAAATATTTATTGAGCTCATACCACATGCTGGGCACTGGAGGTTCAGCCGTGAACAATGCAGGCAGGGTTCCTTCTCTTGTGGAAGTTGCATCCTAGTTAAATTCCTCGAAACGCTCACACACACACATTCACCAACCTGTGCCCTGTGTTGTATTATCTTTTACTGCAGAGTCATAGGCCCTAGTAGAAAAGACCTATTCTCTTTACTGCATGCATGTAGGAGCGGGAGAGAGACAGGGGTGGGGCTTATACTACTTAAATGCAGGCAGTAACTCTCAGTGCTATTTCCCCTAATATTCACTTAAGAAGGCTTTAAAACTTGGCTCCTAAACCTTGCACGAAAGTGACTCACTCCCCAGGAGTCTGAACCAGGAAGAGGTGGATGAATAACAAAAATCTGATTGTTAATAAGAGGAAAGGCAGGGAGTGAGGCAGAAGTACCCAAGCTGGTCTGCAACCCACACCACTGTATGCGCAGGTGGGCTGCATGATGCTGGAGGTGAGGGTGTTCAAGGCCAGGCTCAAACAGCCACGAGCTGGCACCTCCCGCTTCCCAGTGGGTCTGACTAATGTCTCCTGGCCACTATAGGTCCCTCTGCCAGTGACTCCAGTACCATCCTCTAGTAACCACACTGGTAGTCAAGACTCAGACACACCTGCACCGCCATGGGAAGACATGTCTATTTCCTGGGAAGGGTGGGAAACAAGACCTCGCCTGCCACAGCCGGCCAATATCCATGCAGAGTAGAAACACTGGGCTGGCAGAGGGCAGAGAAAGAAGAAAGACGGCATTCTGAGGTTGGGTTCCCTAGAAGCACAGCGTGTGGTGAGGATTCTTGTTTAAGTGACTGAGTGGGAGGGAGGGAGGGAGGAAGGGAGGGAGGGGGGAGGGAGGCAGACGGGGCAGGAGTCAGAGGCTGGCAGGAATGTGGTCTCAGCTGGAAACTCCTTCAGCCAGATCCAGGCCTCCGGGCTCTGGAGCCCCAATGGCACCACAGATCTGGCCCCTCCTTTTCTTCTTTTTTTTAAATCCCCACCTGAGGACACCTAAGGACATGCTTATTGATTTTAGAGAGAGTGGAAAGGAGGGAGAGAGAGAAACAGGGATCAGTTGCCTCTCATACTGCCCGACCAGGGACTGGACTTGCGACCCAGGCATGTGCCCTGACCACGGATGGAACCCAGCCTTCCAGTTTAAGGGACGACACTCCAACCAGCTGAGCCACACTGTCCAGGACTCTAGCCCCACCTTTGAGGTGAACGACTTGGCCTTGGGTAACCACTTATCCACCAGTCATTGGCCAAGGTCTGAGGGCAAGACAGCTCCTGTGAGTGCAAGTAGTCCTCCAGAGAAAGGGCAGCTGGGAGCTATCACAAGCAGCCCCCACAGCAGCTGGGGAAAGGATGTGCCAGCCAGCAGAGTGGGGCCCCACAGCGTCCTCTGCACCCAGCTTTCGGCCATGGCTCTCAGACAGGGAGAGGTGGACACCATGGAGGCCTGGCAGTGCTCAGAGGCCTCAGCCTCCTCAGAAACCCTTGCCCCATAGTGTTCCTTTTGTGAAGCTAAACAAAGTCATCTTTGAGAAGGCGGTCTGCCAGGCCAGCCAGGGAGTGAGCATGGGAGTGGAAGTAGCAGGCCAGAGCCAGCGGGCTGACCCCAAGCCCTGGCAGGGTCAACCCTTGAAAGGAAGCCCCAGTGTAGTAATGTCACGGGCCTGGCACCCCTCCAGGAAGGGGTGGCTGAGCCTGGGTTCATGGGAAAGTCAAAGGAGGGGGCATAAATGAAGGGGAAGTGTAAGAAAGGGAAGGAAAGGAGAGGAGAAGGTGACAAGGGAGAGGTAGAGGAGCAGGGGAGGACAGGAGGGGCCCACAATGCAGGTCAGAGAAAACGCAACATAACTTGACCTTCCGAGCTAAGGCATCACTCCACTATCACTCTGCTCCTCTCCTTTGGGAGCAAGCCCTTCTTTTGACATCCTGCCTCCTCCACGAAGCCACCCAGGCCTCCCCTGTCCACAGTGAGTCTCTCTCTGGTGGACTCCTGTAACACTCCCCAAGGACACCTCTCTCCTGAGATCTGGCAGGTTGTGCCTCATGCTGTGAATTACCCTTAGGTGAGTTAATGAAGGGCAAAACCGTCTTATTCATGCCTCTCTAGACCACAACACCATAGCACACAGCAAGAACCTGGCTCACTGGGTGCCCGATCAATCTACGTTCATGGATGTGGCAGGTGGAAGAGTCTCTTGAGGACTCGGATGCACTCCCTACATTTGAAGCAGGGGTGCCAGTCACACGCAGCCACAAAGACTGTGCATGCCTCCATCGGGAAGGAGAGGAGAGGGTTGGTCAGGAGATAGAAAAATGGCCGAGGCATAGCCCTCCTACCTCACAAGTCCCTGCTTGCAGCAAACCACAGACCACAAGCCAGCAGCTCTGGGGAAGGACAATGGTGAGCTGGGCTACAAGCCCTGAGAGGTCAGCCATCATGCATGACCCCTGCTCACCCATATGGACTGAGTGCCTGGCACAGGGCAGGTGCTCAGTGATTGTGTGTCCCTGAGTGTCTGTCCCTGGGGCATGTGATGCCACAAGGTCGAGCCCTGAGCAGCAGGCACCCAGCACTGGCAGGAAGTGGGGGAGGGAAGCCTCCGAGAGGCTGCAGTGGCTGCCCGTGGTTGCCTCGTGAACCAGGCTGCAGCACACAGAGGACAGGTTGTTCTCGAACTAGTGGGAGGCAGGAACCAGGCCGCTGACCCCGGCAGCTCTGTGTCGTGGCTTCAGTGGGGCCGGCAGCCAAAGGAAACTCTCTGGCTGGGATCCCTCCTACGCTACCTCATAGCAGACCAGCAGACCGAGCGGGCCCCCCTCTGTCCCTGGAACCCACAGTGGGGCCTCTGCCTGGGAAATCCTTCAGTCCCTTCATTCCCAACCTTCCCCAACAAGGGGTTGCCCACATCAGACTTACCCATTCCCTTTTGTACTTTGAATATGATCTAAATACCATTAAATATTAAAATGAACTTAAACTTCTGCCTCATCCCCTAACTGAAACTGCTGTTTGAGTGTGAGGATGTGTACCTGATCTCTCACTCCCCAATTGCACTATCCTTTTTCTCCGATGTCTCTCTCGTATTTCGTTGGCAGGACTGAGAGAAACAATGTTTCAATAATAAAAAAGGGCCATTTTTATATTACTTGGACATGCTTTAGAATGACAGATTCACCTTTCTAATCAAGCCTCTTCAAAGGCCGATGGTAAAATGAACATCTGGTGGACTAGCTCAGCTGGTTAGACCCCCACTGCAAATGAAGCCAACTCGGGTCACGGATTTGACCACCAAAAAAGCCAGTTACGATCTCTGCTTGATTGGCCACACGACACACCCTTAAGCCAGTCTCAACCAATTTGCTAATGTCTCCAATCTGTCTCTCACAAGGGGGATTAAGCCACAGTGGTAAATGCTCAGCAAAAACCTGTTCCGGCACCCCAGGAACAGCTCAGGCTGCCTGTTTGCTCCTACAGTGTTGCGGGGGCAGATAAAGATTACATTAACGTCAGTTCGGCTTCTTCTGGCGGGAGATGTACCCCAGGACCTGTCTTTGGGGCGAGGAAAAACCAGTGAGAGATTATTAGTGGGCCTGGAGATATTACTGAATTTTTGTAACCAGAAGGACGACAACTCGGCGTCCTGCAGGCAGAAGGACTCAAAACCATAACCCCCGGTCGGCAGGCCGGGCACTTGCTGGCCGTGCTGTTCGATGCGTGTCCTGCAGCCCGGGGCGGTGGGGGGGCAGCCACTAGCCAGTGTGGCTCCTGTGCAACGGAGGAACTGAATTGTAAATTTTAATTTAAATTAAATTTAAAAGTACTTTAATTAATTAAAATCAATTAACTTAAATTTAAACAGCTGTCTGTGGCTAGTGGCTATCATTTCGTCAGCCCGGATCTAGAACCCAGAAAGTAATGGCAGTGCCGAGAGCGATAACCAAGTAGCGCCAATTTAGTAAGAGCTCACTATTTCCCAGTCATTCATTGTTCCAGGCGTCCTGGCTCATCAAATATGCTCCAATGTCTTGCATATATATTACTCTTTTCCAAGTTTTTTTGTGATGAAAAGATAAATTCACTCAAGACAATTATTACTTGCTTCACTATACATTCTGACATCACGTATTTTCCAACTCTATAAAAACTAAAAAGTTAATTACCATCAGTGATTTTCTTTTCATTTTTTCCCCATATCCTAAAAAAGATTAGGAACCAGTGACTTAAAATATTAGGGGAAGGGCAGATGAAAAAAAACTCTCTTCACCTTCAAGTTTCCCCATTCCTTCTCACGCGTCCCTGCCCCCCATGAGCAAGGACATAGGGAGCAGAGAGGAATTAATGACAACCTCATTTCTGCTTTCTCCCACTGGCGTGGCACACCACCTACTCAGCTCTGCCCGTGGGCCCTCCTGTGCCCACGTCAAGCCCAGATGTGTGCGTGTGTGTGGGTGCCAGCACGGGAGGGGCGTGCAGTCCTACTCACCTGAGCACATCTCCCCCTTGTAGCGGACACAGGAAAAGTCGTCACACTCGCAGTACTTGCCCGTGATCTTGCCAAAGTCACTGCTATGGCAGATGCACTGGCCACAGAGACACTCGCCCCGCTGGCTGCAGACAGGCTGCCCCTCCTGGGGGCTGCACTCGTCCTGCTGGGAGGGCCGGTAGTCCTCCTCGGAGCACTCACACTGGGACCCCAGCCAGCCGGGCCCACAGCGGCACACCCCGCACTCAAAGGTCCCATTGCCATTGTTGCAGCGCTGGCTGTGAGGCTGTGCATGGGCCTGGCAGGCACAGTCACAGTCGAAGGTGACCTGGACGATAAGGTTGTCCTTAAAGCCCACGGGCTTGATGGTGAAGGACTTCTCCTTCTCCTGGGGACAGCCACGCACCTTGGCCTCGATGCTGAAGCTCACCTGGATGGAAAATCAGATTGCACTCAGGTACAGGTGGACCCTGCTAACACTCCAGCCCTGGAAACCACCTGTTCTCTGCCCTGCCAAGGACCACCCAAATTGGGTGTCTGGGGTTTCTCAGCCTTCCAACTACCAAGGTCTGCAAAGCAAAAACAAAACCCCTGAGTAATGGTGCAGTTGTGACATACCAGACAGGGTGCAGAGACGCATGTCTACAGTTGTGATGTAGAAGGTTTTTTATTCTGCATGTGAAATAAACCAGCTCATGCAGAACAGAACTGCGATCTTGTGAATGCTCTGCTCTGGCCAACTAAGCTACCTGGACTGATTACATCCCATCAGCAAGAGAGACGAAGCCCTCCTGTACCACACAATGCCACACGGTGGCCATCCACGGGCTCCGAGTCTACTGTTCAGTTCACACATAACATTTCATCACTTGTGCAATCAAACACATTTTAGGCCAATATTTCTTATGTGGGGCATGTGCACATATGCCTAGAGCAGACAGACAGACGGATGGATGGAGAGATAGATAGAGTAGATAACATAAATATGGTGAAACACATACCCCTCTCTCTCCCCCATCCCCTTCACCAACCCCTCTCCCCTTAGGCTAGAACAGACAAGAACCAACCACTAAGGAAGGAAAGCCACAGAGGGACTGAAGGGGCAGAATGAACATCTGCATTCTGAAATCCCATCAGGTGGGTATTTTTGCCCGTTCCATTTGCTTCTGAATCTTCGGCAATGAGAACAATGCCTGGCATCAGCCAGCGCTCAACGAAGGTTTATAGAAGACACTGCCATTTTACATTGTGGAGGAAAGAAAGGCTTTTTCCTGGGCAGAGGCTGGAGACTGATTAGGTGCTGAAGGTAAGAAACATTTTCATTTGCAATCAACTGTGCACAGACAAACAGAGGTAACTCTGTTTGTCTTAAGTTTCAAAAAAGTCCTGATAATGAAGTTCACATAACAGACAGACACAGTTTAGACAACAGAAGCCTCAGAGGAGAAGGTTAGCAGCTCCATTTCACCTAAGTTGTAATGACCTTCAGGAAGAAGGTACAGGGAGGAGGGGTCGGGAGCCCACAGACACTCCAGGGCACAGGCCTGGGCCAGAGCTTTGGCCTCAGCCCCTGCCCAGCCCACCTCACCGTGTCTCCAATCTTGAGTCCCACACAAGACTTGAGGCCTGGGATGACCTCGTTGTTGAGACAAGTGGCGTTGAAGGACAGAGACAACTCCTCAGGAAGGTCACGCACCTCCAGCTCTACTTTAGAGCGGATTTTCTGAGCAGAGAAGGGCAAGAGAAGGTAAGAAAATGGACGGAGGAAATGGGTAGGTGCTACTTCCATCCCCAGCGGAATCTACCAGGTGGCCCTGGACTGACCTGACAGCACCAGATGTCCCGGTTTCCCTGGAAGCTGTCAGAGCCCCTCGAGGAGGCTGCCACCTGCTACATTTCCGGCCCAGGCCCAGCTCCCCCCCTCTCCCCACTTGTATCTAGGTGAGTCTGGATAAAATCAAAATCAGTACACCCTCCTGCAGGCCTCATGCATGTGCAAAAGGGAAGTGCTAATACTGGTCCCCTCGGGGAGTAGCAATTTCTACTTAATTTTTAGTCAACCTCATCTTCCCTGTGACTCAGTTTCCTCTTCTCTCTCTTACTGGAGCCCAACTGTCCCTCACTTTCCCTCCCCCTCCAATCTCAGGACTCTCATCTCTACTCCCACCCTCTCCCTTCTGCCTCCTCTAAGCTCTTCGCCCATTCATTGTTCCTAAGCTCCCTGGCATTCTGTTCTGAGCCACTGCTTTCTCAGAAGGCTGCATTCCTCCCCGTGCTGGCCATCACCCAGCCTCTGGAAAAGCAAGAGGAAGGCAGTGAAGACTGCAGGGTAAACTAGCAGCCAGGACTCCCAAATTGGAGCCCTCCAGAGTAAATGCCAAGTGAGGCTGAACTCTCAGCAAGCGCCTTCCCAGGGCAAGACACTCACCCCATAAGCATCAACAATGAGCTGGAGGACGTTGCTGGAGTCAGCAGACAGAACCCCCACTGTGGTGCCTGGGATGAGCTCACTGTAGTTCTAGAAAGAAAGACAAAGATGTCCAGGGCTGGCTGGACAAATGCAGTGGTCTCCAAAAGCCCTGCCCTAATCAGATGAAGGGTCTTGAAATGAAGATTGAGGGGAGAACAGGATATTCATCTTGTCGCTGCCAGGAATAGTTTCCTGGTAGCAGTTTTCCAGCACTGAGCAAAATTAGACAACATCCCTCACCCCGGAGAACTGTTCCCCTTCCCACTGCAAACATCTGCACACCCACCCTGCTAGGTTTAAGGCGGGGGAGGAATCATTAGCTCCTGGGAACAGGTTGTTGGAGGGCCTTTCCTGGTTGAGAACTACGGTCATTGCTGGTCCCTGAGAGAGGTCCACCCATCACAGGCCCCCCTTCCCACTCCCAGTCCAGAAAGCCTGACGGCACAGTTACCTGGTAGAGATTGACTACCCCTTCAGTCACTGCAAAGATCAGATTGATGTTCTTCTGGGAGAGCTTCTCGGTCATCAGCCCCAGAGAGGGATAATCCTATGAAAAGGGAGGATGTGGAGGTTTGTTAAAGAAGTCCATTTGCATCCATCCCTGGACCCTAAGCCTCAGAACTTGGCTGACTTGAGCCATGGCCCAGACAGCCAAAGGGGGTAACCAGCAGCACAAACCCAGTTGTGAACTCCAGGAATAGAGGCAGAGGTACAGGCTGGGGGTGTCAAAACAAAGCACTTCTTTCTTCCTACTCAAGTCTGAGGCATTCATACCATGGAGCAGCTTCCATGGGCCACATACTGTTAGGCCTTGTTGTTTTGTAGCTTCCTCCTGTTTTGCTTTGACTTGGTGCTTGGCAATCTTCCACCAAGTGGTCCTTCCAACCTTCCTTTCCAGTCATCACTCAGCTCTCTCCCTCTTCCACTCACCGCTGACCTGGCCCATTCTCTCTCTCCCACCTGGAGCAGCCTTCTTTTTGGTAATCCTGCTCCTGCCTAGGGACCCACTTCTGATCCCATTTTCTCCAGGAGGCCTTCCTTGACCACCCCAGCTCATGATGAGCTTACCTCCTTTGAATACATGAAGACTTTCTTGACTATGCTGCCCATTTAACACTAACCATGCATCTGGTGTTACTGGTAACACATCTCAACTAAACCAAAACTCCTTATGGGTAGGACCTCCATATAGTCTCTTTATCTCCCTCAGCCCCTGGTAAGGAGCCTTTCATAGGTCAGGAGTCCCTGGGACCCCAGCCCTTGCAGAGAAGTCATGAGGTCATCCAGCTCGGGCTGCTGCCTTTGTACAGGTGCACCTTGAAGCCACCTAGACCAGGCAAGTTGTTCTGTTGTCTTTAAGAAGTTAAAGAGTTTGCACCTCCCCCAAGATACCCAGAGTATCAGCATTCTGAGGGTCTCTGCACCAGCATTTTGTACATGTTCTTTAGGGCATACGTCAATTTCTCCTGTTTCAATTTAAACTCCTTTCCTCTTACTTAACCCTCTATGGCCATAGAAAACAACTTATAGAATGTAGCTAAATCATCCTTCAGCCTTCTTTCTTTTGAGCCAAATGATTCTGAGCCCTTAAACCTTTCCTCACAGGACCAGCTCTCCATGCTTTTGACGATTTTTTGCCTCTTTTTTTTTGCCACTTCTTTTTTGCCACTACTCCTGGCATTCCACCTCCTTCCAATAACCACAAGTGAGCACGGTATTCCCAGAAGGGGCTCATCCCCACACAGGAGACAAGAAGGCCTGTTTTCCAGCTGGACCTGCAGACGTCCTTCGGGTCCATTCTGGGTGCTGTGACGCTCCTGCTGGTGCTGGAGGCAGTGGAAATAGTGGTAACACTGATCACAGCCAGGGCCGTTTCTAGGGATTGTACAGGTTGTGCCCTGAATGAGGATGTCTGGCTGGGGGAGAGGGCAGGCTGAAATGAGGCCTGAGCCCTGCCGGGAGGAAGGGCTGCCACTTTCTAATTTGCACAAAGACTCTGACTAGACAGGGCAGCTGGCCACAGTGAATAGGGACCAGAGGTCATGTCAAGAATCTCACCATGGTCGTGGAAGCAGAGTAATGGTTGTCACTGCCAACATGACACTGCCCATCGTTGGGCTGGATGATGCCTGCCAGCCTTCCGTCCAGTGCTATGTGGGTCTTGGCGTCAGTGGTAAACACCAGCAAGTGGGACGCATCATTCCTCCAGCCAATCTTCTCCTGTTTAAAAAAAAAAGGCAAAAGAGAGAAAGTAATGTTAGCTGTGTCATTGGCAGAAAACAAAGGCCCATGGACATCCCTACCCAAAGGTCTGAACAGGTCATCTTGGTGAAGGGCCTCAGTCCCAGTCCTTGAAACACAAGCTGAAACTTCCCAACTCAGGGGTTTCTGTTCTCTTAGAAAACAGTCTCTGCCCTGGCAGGTGTGGCTGCAGGGACTGAGTGCCAGCCTGCGAACCAAGAGTTCACCGGTTCAATTCCCAGTCAAGGCACATGCCTGGGTTGAGGGTCAGGTCCTCATTTAGGGGCATGTGAGAGGCAGCTGATCGATGTCTCTCTCTCACATCAATGTTTCTCTCCCTCTCTTTCTCCCTCCCTTGCCTTTTCTCTAAAAATAAATTAATAAAATAGTTTTTAAAAAAGAAAACAGTCTCATTGTTTCAAGCAGCTGAGAGACACCTGATTCAGTTCCAAGTGAAACTCTTCCAGTGATAATCATATGGCCCACCTAGACCCCCACCTGCATCTGCACAGCTGGGCTGGGCTAGCAGAAATCCTTTCTGAACATCTTCCTGCTTTGCTGTGGCTAAGTTAACCCAGCTTGACTCTGATTCACTTCCAGAGAAGATGAGAAAATGCTCTATCCAGAGAACGTATGGTACTATGAGGTTTAAAAGACGGTCAACTCTGGTCAGGGAGTGGATACAAGCAAAGGATGCTTATCAGGAGCAATCTATTGCTTATTGAGTATGAAGCTCTGCTTAGTTCCCATCTCTTATTTCATACAGAAGTTCCCACAGTTGAGCCACTCCCTTCCCCACTTGATCTGCACTCACTACTCCTGGCATTCCATGTCCTCCAAACTCACGTCACAGACTGTAGCCTGCATGATGGCATCAAAGCCACCCTCTGGGCCATCTCGATTGCGTGACACACTCTGCTTCTTCACCTCCTCATTGAAGCGGGTCACCTGGTCAGTTAGCGTCAGCACATGTTTGTAGCCAAACATGGGCAAACAGGAGGTCTTCATTCTGGGAAGGGAAGGAGATAATTTAAGCAGGCAGCCTAAAAAAGGCTGCATGGGGACTGGGAGGGAACAAGAAGGGGACAAATATGGACAGTGGTATGCCCATCCAGTTCTCTACAACCACAGTTACCCAGACAGTTCAGACTCCAAAGCCCTCAAATTACCACATTGACCTTACCCCCAGCTAGCCTAGAGGATAAGAGAGTAAGCTGCAAAAGGAGATTGCCTTAGTTCAAATCCCAGCTCCTGTACTTATAAGTCATGGGACCCTAGGCAAGTTTCTCTACACTTAACCTCTAAAAACGGGAAACGAGAGTGCATAGCTCCTAAGAGATGTTGTGGGTTAACTTAAAGGAGTTAACATGTAAAGCACTCAGAGTGAGGCTCTTGTTGTTGCTATCATCTTTCATTTAATACTTTTCTAAAGTGACAGTGCAACAATAAAGCAAAAATTTCACCAATAAAAATGTCCCTGAGCCATCAATAAATTGATAGATCTGGATCCCAAGAGTCTGTTACTTTGAGTCATAGAAGTTGTGGCAGGTACTACACTTCAGGCTATAAAAGGCTGGAACTATATCCCACCCCGAATCCCATAGCACTCACATGCCTCTACATAGAAGGTACTTCTGTAAATATTTGATTTAATTAGAAAAGTCACAGTTGTTGCTTCCACAAGCCTGTCTTTACCCCCATGCTCAGCTTTGACTTCTGGAGGAGGACTTACTCATAGCAGGGGTTCTGGAGGGCCTCTGGTGGGGAGATGTACATGTATGGTGACGCAGGCTTGTCCACAAAGGCCCCAAAGCCAATCCGCAGGTTACTGGTGAGCTTGCGCATCTCGGAGGCCAGCTTGGTACCCAGGTTCTGGATGTTCCCCAGATCATCCTTCATAGAGTAAGACAGGTCCATCAAGTAGTAGATGTCAACAGGGTAATCCTCCACCTGCCGGACTTGGACGGAGAAACTCTTCGAATCATCTAGAAGGCAGAAGGGTGTTAGTTTTTCTCTTCTTCTAAGACTTAATAGGTTGATTTGGACACGGTTAGGGTTAATTAACTTCTTGATCAAACCAGACTTGAAAACCCTGGCATTAGGGGAAAGAAGGAACAAACATTTTTTGAGTATCTACTGTGTTAGAAGGGTTGAATAACTTGCCCAGGGTCAAATAGCTAATATAAGGGAGAGTCAAGATTCAAACTCAGATCTTCTGACTCTAAGTTCTAACAGCTTCTGTTTTCTCCCATTCTCCTGCCCACGCCTTTCTCCACACTCTTCTCTTCTGGCCCCATTTCCATTGTGAGCTACTTCCCCAAGGCTTTCTGATCAGACCTGCACCTCGTGCCCTGCGCCCATCTGTCTGGCATCTCCCAGAGATGAGCTCCATCCCTACCTGGCCGGAGCCGGAGTGCAATCCTCTGGGGACTGACTTGTGTGATCTGGGAGCTGTCTCCAGAGCCTTTGTCGCTGAGAGGCCTGGCCTCCAGGATGATGGCCTCACTGATGGGGAACTCGATGGACTCCAGGGCACAGTTATCCTTCAGCAGATTCTCCTTCAGGTCACAGCGGGGCGAGCCCAGAGGCAGGGTCTGTAAGACAGGAGCACGAGGCACAGCCCTGTGGTTGGAGCTATGGTGGTTCTCTGCCTCCTGCGGGCTCTGCTCCTTCCCAGTGGCCTAGAGCTTACTTAGCATTTTGGAGCTAAACCAACTTGTATGGTCCATTATACAGAAGGAGGGAACTGAGGCAATGGAGAGGTTGGGTGAGTACCTGTTCATGGATTTGTAGTTAGGAAGAGAGCCACTGCATGTAATGACTGTTAAACTACTGCTTTTCTTTTTTAAATTATGCATTATTGATTATGCTATTATAGTTGTCCTGATTTTTTCCTCTTGCCCCCCTCTACCCAACAGCCCCTACTCTTTCAAGCAATCCCTACACCTTTGTTCATGTCCATGGGTCATGTGTATAAATTGTTTGGCTATTCCATTTCCTATACTGTACTTTACATCCCTATGGCTATTCTGGAACTGCCTATTTGTACTTCTTAATCCCCTCACCTCTTCACCCATTCTCCCACACCCCTCTCCCATCTGGCAACCATCAAAACACTCTCTGTAAACATGATTCTGTCTCTGTTCTCTTGTTTGCTTAGTTTGTTTTTTGATTCAATTGTTGATAGATTTGTATTTTTTGCCATTTTATTATTCATAGTTTTGATCTTCTTTTTCTTAAATATGTCCCTTTAACATTTCATATAATGATGGTTTGGTGATGATGAACCCCTTCAATCTTTTTTTGTCTGGGAAGCTCTTTATCTGCCCTTTGATTCTAAATGATAGCTTTGCTGGGTAGAGCAATCTTGGCTGGAGTTCCCTGCTTTTCATGACTTTGAATAATTCTTGTTAATCCCTTCTAGACAGCAAAGTATCTTTTGAGAAATCAGTTGAAAGTATTATGGGAATTCCTTTCAGGTAACTAACTTCTTTTCTCTTGCTGCTTTTAAGATTCTCTCTTTATCTTTAACCTTTGGCATTTTAATTATGATGTGTCTTGGAGTGAGCCTCTTTGTATCCATTTTGTTTGGGACTCTGGGCTTCCTGGATTTGTATATCTATCTCCTTCACCAAATTAGGGAAATTTTCTTTCATTATTTTTTCAAGTAGATTTCCAATTTCTTGCTCTTTCTCTTCTCCTTCTGGCACCCCCATAATGTGAATGTTGGGCCTCTTGAAGTTGTCCCAGAAGCTGCTTATAGTATCCTCAGTTTTTTGGATTCTTTTTTTCTTCTTGTTGTTCTGATTGGTTGTTTCTTGCTTCCTTATGTTCCACATCATTGATTTGATTCTCATCTTCATCCACTCTGTTATTGTTTCCCTATAAATTGTTCTTTATTTCAATTTGTGAATACTTTGTTTCTGACTGGATCTTTTTTATGCTGTTGAGGTTCTAAGTTCCTTGAGCATCCTTATAACCAGTGTTTTGAACTCGGCATCTGATAGATGTGTTTATCTTCATTTCATTTAGCTCTTTTTTTCTAGAATTTTGATCTATTCTTTCATTTGGGCCATGTTACTTTGTATCCTCATTTTGGCAGTATCCCTGTGTTTGTTTTTATGTATTAGGTAGAACTGCTTTGACTCAATGTCTTGGTAGTGTGGCCTAATGTAGTTGATGTCCTGTATGGTCCAGTGGCACAGGCTCCCCTATCACCCAAGCTGGGTAATCAAGGTGCACCCTTCATGTGGGCTGAGTACACCCTCCTCTTGTAGTTGAGTCTTGGTTGCTGTTGGCAGGTCATTGGGAGGGATTCACCCAGGCCAGTCAGCTGCAAGGATTGGCTGTGACTACTTACCACCAATCTCTACCCTCTGTGGAGGATCAGCTGTGCAGGGGCAGGGTGGCAGTGCTCCAAAGTGATCTGTAGCTGTCCATTGGGTGTGCTGGCCCTCGGGTTTCTGGGTGGTGCAGGGCAAGGTCAGCCCCTACCTGTGTTTTGCCTGGGGCCACCCTGCATGAGTTATAAAGCAATCTGAGATGTCTGCTACTTGTGCTGGGCTTGGAGATTCCCAGGGGAAGCCAAGCTGTGAATCTAGGCTGGCTGCTGCTAGTGCAGTGTGTGGGGCCCACTGAGGCCAGCTGTTGCTTATTTGAGAGGACTTGGGATGGTGTGAAGTGTGAGCTAAGACCAGTGATTCATATAGAAAAGCGCTTGGGTGGGGGAGAGTCTCTGGGGATCTCCAAGGTGGGTCAAACAGTGTTACCCAGGTTGATGGAGTCTCAGCTATGGCACCAGCTTGCCAGCTCTGTGGGGGCAGGGTTTAGAAAAGGGACAATGGCCTCTGCTCATCTTGATGCCAGACACTTCAGCTCCTCCCTTTATGCCACTGGTGCCTTTCAAGCTGTTACCCTGGTGTAGGAGCTCAGAGGGAATGAGTCTGAGTGGGTGAGAGTGTGTGTGTTCTTTAAGAGGAACTGCTTGGGGCTCCAGAAGTTTCTTCCACAGACTCAATCCCTACTGGATTTTGGAGCCAGAAGTTGTGGGGACTTAACTTCCTAACATTGGAACCCTGGGCTGAGGAGACTGATGTGGGGCTGGGACTCCTCACTCCCAAGATTTCCCTCCCAACTGTTCATGCACCACATGAGGGTGAGGAACAAGTCCATTCTGCATCTGTGCCCCTCCTACCAGTCTGGATGGATGTGGTTTCTTTAATTGCATAGTTGTCAGACTTCCATTCGTCTCAATTTCTGATGGTTCTGAGTGATGGTAGTTCTATATTTAGTTATAATTTTGATGTGTTGTGCAAAGAGGTAAGCCATGCCTGCCTACACTGCCATCTTGACCAGAAGTCCATACTGTTTTTCAAATTCTGAAGTACAACCCACTTTGGGTCCCAAAAAACAATGTAGTGGGTCTTAACCATCTATTTATCAAATAGAATGCAATAGAATAGAATAGAATAGAATAGAGTAGAAATAAGTATATAAATAGTAAAAGTAAGCATTGTTTTGTGAAACATTTATATATTGGAGGTTGGAGTATAACATATAATAAATAATGATACACAGTGTATTTCTTTCTGGAGGTCAGGGTCAAAACTGTTTGGAAGCCAGTGTGTTAAGACACTGGCTAGGACATGAGATCCCTGAGGGCGGGGAATGTTACCTTGCTATTCCCAGCACCCCACCCAGGACTTACCACAGAGGCATGGGGAGCAGCAGCAGGGAGTAGGGGCTAAGTGCACAAGAGTAGATTGGCTGAGACTACGTCTCAGCATTGCCTCTTACTTGCCAGTTACTAATGTGAGTCACCTAAAGTCTCCAAGAGACTTTGTTTCCTCAGCTATAATGTGAAGATCATAAAAGCCCCAGCTTCCCAAGGATGTTATGCAGGACTGAATAAGACAATACATGTAAAACACATAGCCTGCCACAGGGTAAGTATTCATTGAATGTTAGCTATTATTACGAGATGCTCTATAAATAATTTATGGATAAATTGATCTTGAATAAGCTTCACAAGCTTGGGCAAACCCCATGATGCCGGGCCACTGGCCAGAGCCTATGCTATCACTTTAAACCTCCTCGCTCGTGCTGGACAAAGAGCCAGCCGAGCACCCTTCCAAACCCTGGCGTGTCTCTCACAACCCCCTGGAGCTCCGTGTGTGTTCACACCTGAGTATGAATGGGGGACATCTGCACGGGGCAGAATATGGGAAATCAGGAGCCCAGTTCAACCCTGGGTCTGCCACTAACTAGACATGTGCCCTCAAAGAAGTCACTTCACTCCTGTTAGCCTCCTTTGCCTCACCTATTAGATGACGTGGTGTTTTCAGTCCCTTCCTGTTCTGACATTCAGCAAATTTAGCCAGCACTGTATGGGCACAAGTCCACGAGGGCTCCTTGCCAGGTTTGGGGGACTGGCAGGAAAGCTGGAAAACCCCACCCTGGGCCTATTTCACAACATCTAGGCTTCCGGCCCTCAAACCACCACCCACCTCCACCCACCCCCTCTTACAACCAGCTGAACAAGCCATACCAACACCCCAGAACAACTAGTGTTAACAGTTATTGAGCACTTACTGCATGGCAGGCACTGTGATAAGCACATTGTTTGGGTTACGGCAATCTTCCTGGTTACCGTCCTGTAATGCTGGATTGATTACCATCTTATAAGTGAGGAACCTGAGGCTGGGACGCTTTGCAAATGAGGAACCCAATCTTACAGGCAAGAAACCTAAGGCCTGGAGAAGTTAAAGTACTTGCCCAAATCTACAGAGCTGGGAAGGGGCAGAAGTGAGATGCTAATTAGACTGTCTGACTGCAATTATCCTCACAAAACAATTAAGTTTCATTATGTTCTGCATAGAGTGAGAATCAAGGCAGAGAAGCAGAAATGTGGAAGTGAGAGGCCCAGGAGGAGCCACACCTGAGAATGCCCCAGGTAGGGGACAGAATGCAAGATGCAGAGGTGGGAGGTGTGGGAAGGCTAGATAACGTTCTGCCTGCTCAGGCCCCTTAGGTGATGGGAGTCATATTTCCAGAAGAGGGGTTGGGCCACAAGGGGCTAACCGTGTTCTAAAAATCAGAACTTTGTCCCTGGCCAGGTAGCTCGGTTGGTTGAGTCTCATCCAAATATGCCAAGGTTGTGGGTTCAGTCCAGGTCAGGGCACATACAAGAATAAACCAATGAATGCATAAATAAGTGGAACAACAAATTGATGTTTCTCTCTCTCTCTCAAAAATCAATAAATTAAAAAAAATTAAAAATCAGGACTCTGTAGCCCAAAGCCCCTTGCAATGCTCAAGGTCCCTCTCTCCTGCCCAGTCCTCCTCTGACAGGCCAAAGAGCTTCCCGACGTGGATGGGAAGGAGAACAATGCCAGAGGGCTCCACACTGAATGTCTGTGTCCACCCAGAAGTCCTATGTTAAACCCTAAACCCCAAGGTGATGGTATTAGGAGGTGTGTCTCGGGAGATGATTAGGTCACGAGGTGGAGCCCTCTTGTATGGGATTAGTGCCCTTACAGACAAGCCCCAGAGAGCTCCCTGGACTCTTCTGCCATGAGAGGACAGAGCAAGAAGA